TGGGTCCACCCATGATTCTTTTGGATCCTGAGTTCACCACACACAGAAACGAAGCTTTAGAGTAGATAGTGAAGTATTGAACCTAATCTGGTACTCAGCTTGGAGCGAGTGCAGCTGGCGAAGCACTGGTTGGATATGTGCTGTCGATGAGGTCCTGGTAAGGACCTGAGCCGCTGCATTCTGGACAAGCTGTAATTTCCAGGTCAGTCTCGAGGGCAGCCCTGCGTAGAGCACGTTACAGTAGTCTAGCCTGGAGGTGACTGTTGCATGGATTACCGTGGCTAGGTCGGGGTGGGACAGAAAGGGGGCCAGTTGCTTGATCTGGCACAGCTGGAGAAGCACCAGTCTGGCAACATTTGTTACCTGAGTCTCCATAGATAAGGAGGCATCCAGGTACACACCCAGGCTCTTGGCAGTTGGCACCGGGGTTAGAGATACGTGGTCAAGAGCCGGGAGTTGGCATTGATGGAAGTGCTAATCCCCCCCTTAATAGAAGTGCTAATCCCCCCCCCTTCTTAAACAACAGTAGCTAAGGGGGGACCACTGCAAAAGTTAGGGGGCAGGCACTGATACAAAATGCTGGCATGAGAATTCAGCCCAACTTTCCCCCATAATGTTTCTGTGCTGCCCTGTGTAACACAACAGAGTTGTTCAAACTTTTAACCTACAAAGAACCCTTCCCACATAGCTTATCTGCTGAGGAACTTGTGTGCTTCTGCCATGGGATCCCTGCACATTGCATGGGATTCTGGAGCATGTTCTAGGGTGCATTTTTTGGTTCATGTGTGCAGCAAGCCAGGCATGTTGAGTTTCTCTATTGCCGAATTCAAATGAGAGTGTGCCTTAGAAAACACTCAGTATTTGTCCTTTGTTACTCATCTTCCCGGTGATGAACTGCTACTAAACTTACATGGAACTCTGCAGTTCCCTGGAACACACCTTAACCACTGACCTAGCAGAATAGAGTGATAGCAAAATGATTATGTGCTACACAGATTTGTTAACAAACTGGTTTCCAAATTTCCCAGGGCACTTCCAGCATAAATATTCTTCTGAGGGAGTGCTAAAGATATAAAATTAATCTTCTGCAGCATCACACTAGAAATGGACATTCGACTTTGTGAGCTGCTGGCATTAAAGTTGTGAGCGAGCCATTTGGCTACTGCATGAATTAGTTTGCTCTGGAGCCCTCCTTCCTGAGCTAAGACAAAAATGTGTGAGCCGGAGGCTAAAAAACTGTGAGCTAGCTCACACTAACTCAGCTTAGAGGGAACACTGGTCCAATCCCAGGTTTCCATCAGCTTGGCTGATCATAAGAACAGGGGCTTTCCTTGATATTTGGCTAGAAGTTTACTCGGCAAGAACCTGGAAGACATCAAATTGAATCAGAGTATTGCTTTCTTAATTTGCTGAATGGTTTCCCCAAGGGGAGACCATTTTTGTCCAAAGCACAGCGGGGAATTTGGGGGCAAGGTAATTAGTTTTGCCTCGCATCAAACATCTTTTGTAACACTGTTGTGGCTCTGGGTAGTCAGGAATGCTGTCTGTGAGAAGCAGTTTCTTTCAAATTAGCAGAAATACTCTGGAATGGTAAGAGCCATTCGGCTCGCCCAGTAGGCCCTCTTCCTCCCTTTCCTATGCAGCCGTGCACGTTTCCGTGACTTACATCTTCATGCAGTGGCTCTACTCACACAGCACATCTTTGAGAGCTTCCAGGGAAGGACATTTTGCCGCTTTCCTGAGCCGCTTGAGTTTCTCTCCTCACACCTTCCCTTGGAGTCAATGTTCACGTGTTCCTTACTTGTATCTTTGTGTTTCTGTGCAGTTATGGATGTACAAGCATTCGAGAGGTTACTTGGGCCCTGTATGGACATTATGAAGAGGAATATAACACATTATGAAGAGCAGCTGGTGGCACTGTTTGGTTCTAGCTTGGACCTGACCGATCCAGGCAATTAGGCACAGAGTTACCTGGGTGCCTTCTCCGTTCAAGACACAGAAGAGCCTCCTATTAGCAACACCACACAAATGAAAAATGGACACTACGGGACAGTGGCTGTTGGTGTCTTCTTGGGCATTTTTTTTTAAGAAACCTACGTAGGTCTCAGCATAGCCGGATGGGTCAAGGCTCGCTCTAGGCCTCTGCTTTGCTGCTGAAATTTCATTATTAGACCTAGCTTACTGCTAAATTTCTTTAATCCTCCTTTCACTTTGCTTGGTTCAGAATGGCATGTCTCTCCAACAATTTAAGTGCCTGATACAAAGATGTGGAGTCCTCTCTGTTGTTCTTGCTTAAAAAAAAAAAAGGAAATACATGGCAAAAAAAGTTTGCAAGTGATTGGGGGTAGGAGGTGGCTCTTACTTGCCTCGGGGACAGCCACCTCCTTACAGTCTCTTATTTTCAGTATTCTCTTTTCCCCCTCAGCATACCACAAACTGTGTTTAGTGATGATATCCTTGGATTTGAAATAGTTGTTAACTCTCTGAGAGGATGGAAATGTGCCAGAACTAGTGAGTTTGTGAGGTCTGGGGCTGTTGTGCCATCTGTGGGATTGTGGCAGGTACTGCAGCTCCTAAATTCTGAGAACTCAAGGGCTGCTTGCCTTGTCAATAAGGAGCAATGAAACAAAATACTAAGTCATTATATGTAACAGCAAACAGGTTTTTTTTTTTTTTTTTTAAAATGTATGTATTTTTTAAGGCTTCGTGGAACTTGAACAATAGTCCGAAAGATCCGGTGGCCGCAAGAATGTTGCATCCGCATTGTCCCCCAAAGCTTTGTCTGTTTCTTAAAATTGGATTGATTTGTGATCTCATGAAAAATAGTAGCACGTGACCTAAATTCCTGCTTATGGAGACCCTTTGTACTCCTAGATTTCACATGGCACTGCCCTGGGCAGAATCAAGTTTTAATGCTGGGTTTTTTTAAAAAAAAAAATAGGAGTTTGATCTCTCTCTGACGTTCTCTCTCTCTTTTTGGTAATTTAAAGAATATGTACAAATTAAGGGGAGCTCCCTTCAGCAACAGTGTTTTACAGTATTCTTCGACATGATTAGATACACGTTTTCCAACTGCCAAATCTATTTACTAAATCTTTTGAAAATTATCAACATTTTACTTCAGAAGTGAATCATTTTTTAAAAAAAGAAACAAACCTAAAATGAAAAAAAAATTGCATTTACTTTTTGGGCAATTGGTATATGGATGAAGGATTTTTTGAGCTAAGATTCAGTTAATGAATGACATTTCTCTAAAAAAAACACAAAAAATGCTAAGGCAGAGGCATTTTTAAACATAGGCATCTGTTTCTATACCAAGGCTTTCCAAAAGTAACATCTGGATTCAGTTTTATCTGAGTATTTTCTCAAGAACTGGACCTTAAAATGGGGCTCTTAAAGGTTTAAAAAACAGCCATTTTGGGATACTGAACCAGTAAACAGTAACTTCAATAGATCTTTTCCTTATCTGTTTTTCTTAGCATGTTATAAATATTTCAGAGATAGACTTATACTAATTGTGGGCTTCTGACTGGGAGAATAAACCAACATGTACTTATCATGGCCCTGAAATATTTCCACCATCTGGAATTCCTCTTTCCAGGCAGTGCCACTGATAACCTGTGAGATCTGTCCTAGCCAGTATCAATTTTCTAAACTGCTATGGTTTTGGTTCCTATATTGGTAACTAATGATGTAATTGTAATGCATTGTTGAATCAGGGTATGGTATTATACTAGTTTGAAGGTAAAAGGCCTTTTTTGGGGGGTAACAAATGCCTTTGGAAAAGATACTGAATCCCTGGTGACCATATCATGTTTATTTTTCTAATGCCTCTGTTTACTAGAGATGTCCTCGCTTACTATCTCAAAAGCCAGAAAAAAATACACTTCTTTCATCATCATATTTTTTTTTGCACCAAAGATATTGTTTTTAATTGTAGGATTCTTTCTTTGTACAAACCTCTTCTAGTCTATGAATTTAATGAAGGTTGTTGAGGGAGAAAAAGGATCACTGTGGAGCAGACATGGGTTGTGCAGCAGCAGTACTGGAGTGTCCAAGCCATTCATTAAGCCCTTGCAGATTTTCTGCTGAGCAAAACTCACGCCTTCTAGATACAGCTTTTGAGCCATTGTAGGCTCTCCCCTCATGTAGGCATCCCAGTTGTTCCAGAGGCTTTTGAGTGCTGGCTAAATACAACTTGGCTTTCGTAGTGGATGGGTTACACAAAATTGCTTCTTTTATCCCTAGCCAAAAATCAGAGGACATTTGCTTTGTGATAGAAGTGCAAAAGAAAAAAAAAAAAAAAAGTCTGATAGGGCAAGAAGCAGATCTGCAGGAAGCTGTGAACAGAACTGAAAGCCGGGTGAGGCTTGAATTGGGCCATGATTATTGTCCCTGATCTGTAAATTTCCTGGAGGGGAAAAAAAATAACAACAGAACTACACTTAGTGCTGAGTTGCACAACCCTAAACTGGTCTTGTTGTAAAATCTTTTTTTTTTAAATCTACTTACGTATGGATAGTAAAATGGTTATGTTAATTCCTTTCTCAAGAGCACAGTGAGAGAATTCCACCTGTAGATACAATCAGAATGAGACCCTGCTCGTTTTTGGGGAGGGTGTGTGTGTCCTTTTGGATTCAAAGGAGAGTCCAGTTTGCGGGTATGTGGATTATTCCTGCACTGAGAAGAGAGCAGCATTGTTTTTGCAAATGAGCTGTTTGGGATTTGTCTGAATGGTAATGATTTGGAGTTTGTAAGTGATCTATTGTGCAATATTTACAGTGCTCTAACTCTAGCTTCTCGTCATGTATTCTCCTCGTGCCCCCGTTCCAGCTGGTGTCTCACCATGTTGCTAGGAGTGATCCTGCCCCATCTTTGGATCCTTCACTTTGACGGCATTAACTTTTTTTTTTAACTTTTATTTGATCTTTCTCACAGATGTTGTGTTTTCTCTTTATATATCACTCTGTGAAAAGGGGGGAAGAAATCTGCTCATGTTTTGCATAAGATCATTGGTGGCGTCTAGCTTTAATAAGAGAACTCAGCAGCAAAGCGGCTAACAAGAGTTGTGTCATCTGAGACTCCGTGTCTTTTTTTCTTCTTCCCAAAAAACTTCCTGCTTGTCATTTTCAGTCACTGGGAGAAGAGATTAGTATTCTGGCATTATATTCCTGTTAATATTGTCACAGCAGAAGTTTTCACAGTGTATTAAAACTGAACTCCTTGTCTTTAATAACAGGAAGAGAGTGGAGACTTGGACGAAGAAAAAGGGCAACCCCTTTGTTTCTTTTTCTTTTCTTTTCAGATGTTCTGGGCATGTGTTTGTAAGCCAGTCTTGCCAAAATACAGTTTCTCTGGGTTTCCCCCCCACTCCAGTTATCTTCTGTTGTTTGAATATTGCTGGTGGATTTTTCTCTCTCTCTCCCTCTCCAGTTTCTCCAGTTGCATTTCATTGGGGGAGAGGCCTTTTCTTTGATTTCTCCGTGTACAGGCTATAGGGCTATGCTGGACCTTGATCACCCAGCAGAAACAACGTCCCACATTTCTTAGGAGCATGACACACACATTTGCTGTGCCTAGCTAAGGCTTAAACCACATGCTGCCAATGCTTTCCTTCAGCCACAAAAAAGTCATTCTAGTTTTGCATAAAAATGCTACCTCAAGGCTCCAAGTACTTTAAATGTGTCTTGCCTGTGAGAATTCCACAAATCAGTTCTGATAAATTGGTCTGTTGCATTTGGTGTTTGGAATGTTCTTTTTCTTTCTTTCTTTTTTTTAAATCTATTGCTGGGTGGGGGGTGTTGTTTTGAGTCATTTTTACAGCAAAATTGCGTGAAGAACAGTTCTTGCACTATATAGTATTGCACAAGATAAGGAGCAAACATCTGCCATATAAAGATCCTGGTCTCATTCTGATCTGGGGTTTGAGGTCACTTCTGACTAATAAAAGCTGACATGCCATGTCCAGCCTTCCTGATTACACTCTTGCTTGTATGTTTCAGTGTGCTTTCTTGTACATTTTTAACTTGTTCCAGCAAGTATAGCCATTTTCATTGCTCAGAGACTGAAAAGGAGATTCAGTTTAACTAATGTGTGATGGCAGAGAACGGGAAAGCAGTGGAATCTCACTTTCTAAGAATTTTGAGAAGTCCATCCCCCCTTTTTTAAATGTTCAGAAATTGTGTGCTCTACAGCCCTTCTGTGTTCAAACTGCAGTTGGGAGATCACAATGGAATGGTCTCTCAAAGCAAAAATGCCTTGCACATAGGAAGGCACCACATAATTATTTCTGAACGTAAAAAATGGGTGATTTCCCACAAGCGCTGCTCCACGCTCACTCCTCCCTTTTGCCCCGATGGTACGTGTCAATTTCACACAAGCTGCTGCGTGGCCGCATTTTGCCCCGCAGCTTCGTGCGATTTCCCCCGCGTCTACTCAATCCTCAGAAAACAGGATTGAGTAGACGCGGGGAAAATAGCATGAAGCTGCGGGGCAAAATGCGGTCGTGCAGCAGCTTGTGTGGAATTGACACGTACCATCAGGGCAAAGAGAAGAGTGAGCGCGGAGCAGCGCTTGTGGGAAATCACCCAATGGGTGCACGGGGGTAACCGTTATAGTCTGCTTGGATACACATGAACCGTCAACAGCCCGCCATAGGGGTGTATGTATGACATGAGCTGTCACCGGGCCAATGTATATAGATGGACATATCAAAAAAATGTAAACAGGAGTAGAAAGACAACGAAATATAAAAGGTACAGTTTGTGATGCTCAGTTGTATGCCAGATAAACACAGTGACCCTATTTGTTAGTTATAAAAAACCATGACATGGATAGTTGAGTGTAAAAGATTCTACAGGCAAAGTGTTACAATAAAAATTTTAAAAATAATTTATTGTATAGAAGAGAATTTACATGGCATTTTACAGGTAAATAAACAGATTTCTAAATAGCAAGAAACTTTCAACTGTAACCAAAACTAACTTTTGACATTGAGTGGTATCAGATCTTAAGGCCAGAGGGCAAAAACCCATGTTCTTGACTGACAATCTTTTGTTCAAGCTATTGCCGGGGGCGGGGCTGGCTGCCTCTGTGTTTCTCAAGAGCAGTGACCAGCCCACAGACAAAGGTGAGACATCTTGGTTGACCTATTCTCAAGCCCCCCAGGCCTGTGAGTGTTTGAGAGAGAGAGAGAGAGAGAGAGAGATTATAGATCTGCCATCTGACGTCACACTTTGTGCATCTGAAACAGGCTCTATTACACCAAAGCTTATGCCGTAATAAATCGTTAGTCTTTAAGGTGCCCCGAGATCATGTAGTTCACTTACAGTTCGAGCATACCATTTTGAAAATGAGCCTATTGGCTTGGATCCTATGGAGTGCATGGGTAGATGTGGTTTTTTTAAAAAAAGTGTACCCAGTGCGGTACAAAAAATGACCCATTCAAATGAACACCTTCTCTGCCTTTTCTGCTTGGGTGAGGCCCATAATACAGCCACATGCAAGATTTGCCTCCAATTTACCCTGAAAGCCTGCTCAGATCGAGCAGCGTGCTTGAAGGTGAGCTTACGGGAGAAAGCGCTCTCTTGCTCTAATAGCCCGGCAGCAAAAACATCTGCCCTGGCAGAGCACAGGTGATCCTTGCCTTCGAAATGACTGGTGAGAACTGACTAAC